ATCTATTCACAATAAATTAATTCAGTCGGGAAAGCTTTTATATGATGTAAAATTACAAATAATTGATATAATTAATGATTTATCGACTCTAGCTCTAGACGCAGAGTTGAAATCTTTATCTAGTATTTGTAAAAAATATGGAATTCCAGAATTGTTTATATTAAAGTATAAAGAAAATGAAAATTTAATTAAGCGCTTAACAAATGATTGCAATCGAATACGAGAATATAATCTTAAAATTAACATTATTTCTAATGCAAAAGGCATAAATTGCAAGCAAACTCGACAATTAATTTTAAACGACTTTCATTTGCTTCCGACCGGAGGTCATGCCGGTGTGAATAGAATGTATGCAAATGTGAAAAAATATTATTTTTGGGTAAATTTAAAGAGTGACATAGAAAAATTCATTAAAAAATGTGACGACTGTCAGAGGCACAAGTATTCCAAAAATCAAATCGAACCTCTAACAATTACAACAACAGCGTCATCAGCATTCGAGAAAGTATATTTAGACCTTGTAGGACCCATAACCCAGGATAATGACGATAATCGATACATACTGACACTTCAGTGTGAACTTAGTAAGTTCGTAGAAGCTTATCCGCTTAAAAACAAGGAATCTGAAACGGTGGCAAGGTCATTTGTTAATAATTTCATCTTAAAATTTGGGATTCCGAAAGATATTGTTACCGACCAAGGTACCGAATTTTTAGCAAAAGTTTTCCAACAATCAGCACAAATGTTGGGAATTAAACATCTAACCTCTACCGCTTACCATCATGAAACCTTAGGTTCTCTCGAAAATACGCATAAAAATCTGGGGGCGTATTTACGCATACAAACCAACAAATTCCCATACACGTGGAGTTCTTGGATACCTTTTTGGTGTTTTTCTTTTAACAATACCGTCCATAGTGAAACTAAATACACTCCTCATGAGTTAGTTTTTGGAAAGGTTTGTAATTTGCCACTCAACACTCTAAATAATAGAGAGCCCATTTATAATTTTGATAACTATCCGAACGAACTAAAATACCGATTAAGCTGTGCATGGAATGATGCTCAGAAAAACTTAATACAATCAAAAACCGATAGAAAATGTAAGTTAGATAATAAGATTAATAGTGTTAAGTATAAATTTAATGACAAAGTGTTGTTAAAAAGTGAAGGACAGAATAAAATGGAAGCAATATATAAGGGACCCTTTAAAGTTATAATTGATCAGGCGCCTAACGTAACTTTAAAAATAAACAATAAGCATGTTGTAGTACATAAGAATAGAGTTAAACCTTATTATAGTTAAAAAAACATTTTAATAGTGATAAATAAAATAAACATTGTAACGTTAATTTTATTTTATAAAACCGGGAAGGTGTGAAGGTAGATTGCATTGTAGGCAAAAGCTGAGGTGTATTGAACTCAGGTAAAATATACACCTCAGCAAATATGTAAGTAATCGAGTCGACGTTGAAAAGCGACAGTCGGCATCGACTAGGTATAAGAATTAGTAATAGAAATAAAGTACAAATTAGTAAAGGGAAGATTGGGTTTCATTTCATCATCCAAGCCCTCCATAAAAAGGGACATTACAGGTCGGAAAATTCTCCAGGAATTAACGTTGGAGACCTTGTTGTTATAAAACACCAAGCCAAGATGCCTTGATATTTTAGTAAAAAGTTGGCATCAAACACAGAAGTCTGCAAATTTTCAAAAAGCCAGTTCATATGGTTAAACACTAGGTCACACTAGGTATTCATGGCACACTAGGTTAAATATCGATATGATATGTGTGCATTTTTCAAAAAACCCTAATTATCTCCCAAACTATAAATGTTAGGTATAGGACATATGGGATATAAAAGATGTAAAGTGAGACACCGAAGACGACTAAGTAATAAAATATGGGGAGTGCCATTTTAAAAAATTAAGTTATGGTATTTCCAAATTTCGAAAAGTTAACGTGTCGTAGTAAAGTGACCAAACGTTCTAGACAACCTTACTCGGCACCAAAACATACTCCATCATGTTACTTAAGAGTAGATAATAAATGCCGGTTCTGGACCGGAAGTTGCTCCCCCATGACGTCACTTCCGGTGTGATGACATCACTTCCGGTGTCATCCTACTTCCGGTATCTTGTCACTTCCGGTATCTTATCACTTCCAGTGTCATCATCAACCCCCTTCAACCCCATCTTAGTGCCCTATTGATCCCCTTCAAGCCCATTTTAGCGCCGTAATGACCCCCATCAACCCCAAGCATCCCCCTACTTAGCGCCCTAATGGATCCCTTCAACCCCATGCTAGTGCCCTAATGGCTCCCTTCAACCCCGCTTCAACCCCCTACGATAGGGGGTGGTGTTCTAGTACCCCAATGGCTTTGTTTTTTTTTTGTTATTTAATATGTTATTAAAATATGTTATTTATTAGTGGTTCTTTATTACTGATTGAGGGTAGCAGGAGGAAATCACACACATACACAATTAATACGATAAATAAATGTTAACGACACATAATAGGGCTTGAAATCGTATTCGCATAATTCGAATAGTCGAATATTCGTAATTCGAATAATTTTCATAATTTATAAGCCGAAAAGTAGAATATTTGAATATTCGACTATTCTAATAACACTCAATAGTTGTAGTGCGGTGAGCCCTGACAATCATGTCTGTGCCCTGTGCGTGTTGGAACTTGTTTTTATCAAGTCGATATAAAGCCTACGCTGCCCAGCCGACTTGTTTAGTATTATTTGTGGTGTGGCGGAGGTTAGATTTGTGCTACTAATTTTTCAATTTAATTCAGTGATATAATTTTTGTGTTGAAAATGAGTACTACCCGTAGCAAAATTTGGATATACATATTTCGACCGAAAAGAAACTCGAGTGCAGTGCAAATTTTGCAGCTATAATGCTACTAGAAACAGCACAACTAGTAATTTGTGGAATCATTTAAGAAATAAGCATATTTCTAAAATTACAAGGTATGTTCATTAAATATTATATTATTTATTAAAATTTATCAACCGATATGTAGTTTATTTGATACAATTTATTGATCCATTCTTTTTTGTAATGTCTCATCTTGTTCTGTTTATAAAGAAAATATTTACTTATAGACCTTGCTTAAATCAACTTTTGTTTTGTAGTACGTCAACAACATCAGATTTAGTAAGCGCCGAAGTATCGGATGAACTGGAAACCGAAACTCAGTCAGAGTCAGCAAGCCAAACAAGTTCGACTTCATCGGTTCAAACAAAAATCGATAATATCTTTTTTTCCAAAAAAATTTCCAAACAAAGAGAAGAGGACATAACTCAACTAATAACAAAAATGATTTGCATTGATTCACTACCAGTGTCATTTGTTGAAAATCGTGGATTCAAAAATTTGTTAAAATTTATTTGTCCCACTTACAAAACACCGACAGCAAAGACTATCCAAATACGTGTAGATGCCCTTTATGAAATTCAAAAACAAAGCCTAATCAAAGAATTAAAAGATGTGCCACACATTGCCATAACCACGGATTGTTGGACATCAAGGGCAACTGAATCATATATCAGCTTAACCTGTCATTACATAAATCAAAATTGGGTACAAGTGTCACGTAATATCACAACTGAAAGTATGGAAGATAGACACACAGCATTAAACTTACAAAATAAAATAAATAATATTATAAATGAGTGGGAAATTAATGATAAATGTGTAGCCATTGTGCATGATAACGCTGCCAACATTGTCTCTGCAACTAAAGAAATGTCCGTTGATGCAATTACTTGTTATGCACATAACTTACAATTAGTTTTAAATAAAGTATTAGACGCTGATTACATTAAGCCATTAATAGTTAAGTGCAGCAGCATTGTTTCCCATTTTAAACATTCATATATAGCATCAACAGCCTTGAATACTAAGCAGGAACAACTAGGACTGCAAAAACATAAACTTATTCAAGCAGTAAGAACGCGCTGGAACTCCACATATTACATGTTGAAAAGATTAGTTGAACAACGTGAAGCTATACTTAGTGTTCTATCAGACAGAACTATTACATCAAGAATACAAGCCGGACATTTGATGCTGGAAGAGGAGGAATGGATTACTATGGAGTATTGTATTGCAATGTTGGAACCATTTGAATTAGTTACTACACTGTTATCTTCAGAGTCGCAACCAACCATTTCAATTGTAATGCCCATTTTAAAATCCTTAGCGGAAAATTTTATTTCAAAAACTAAGGAAGATGAGCCTAAATTATTACAAAATTTGCAGCGTTTATTACAGAATGAATTTCAATCCAGATTTGAAAATATATTAAGTAATGTGTCCGTCACCGCTGGAGGAAAAATTGGAATTTTTGACCTAAGTACATTCTTAGATCCACGATTTAAGAATAAAGAACGGTTTACTGGTTCATTATTTCAAACAAAACGACATTTCAAGAATATTTTACAGTCAAGTTTGGAAGATACAGAAAATGAAATGAATCATAACCCTAAAAAAAAAAGTGCCTTTGATATTTTGTTTCCAAATGAAAATTCAGCAGCAGCTGATTTAAATGAAGTTGATATGTATTATTCAGACTGCCCTATACAAAAGAATATGTGTCCTTTGCAGTGGTGGAAAAACAATGAAAATAAGTATCCGAAATTGTCAAAGTATGCAAAACGTTATCTCTCTATTCCTGCGACATCAGTTTCATCGGAGCGTAGCTTCTCAAAAGCTGGTAATGTAGTGAACGCGAAACGCGCTTGTCTAAAATCAGACAATGTAAAAAAAATTTGTTTTTTAAGTGCAAGTTTGTAGTCATTACGTTATTATATTATTAATACATTTTTCTTTTTCTCTTTATTGTTGTATTAATTTTTAACTTAACGAGGAAAAACATATTCTTACTTGTTTATTTGTTTCTCCTGAAATTCTGAAAAATTAGTAGTATACGTTTTGTTAATCAAATAATCCGAATATTTGAAAAATTCGACGATTCGACTAGTCGATGACTATTCGACTAGTCGACAACTACTTCACTAGTCGAATATTAATAAATATTCGAATTATTCGACTATTCCAATTATTCGAATTGAAAATTATACGACTATTCGAATACTTAAATTTGTAAAATTCCGAGCCCTAATACATATATTGTAAAATTATTAAATTAAACAAAATAAACGGATAAAATTAATCTGCGCCGTAGACGACGTCGTTCGCTAAATTGTAATAGAAACCACCTTGGTTTTGGTTGCGTTCATGTAGAGGGACCCGCGTCGCTCCAGGATAACGTCTGTTGACGGGTGTGGTCACTTCCGAAACGGTATAGTTCACCGCCAAATTTTCGGCGATGTCCGCGACTGGAGAAGGAATCGCATAAATTTTCTGATCGAATCGGATTAAGTTTGCGGGATTCTGTTTCCCAAAATCCCTCTTTCCAAGATATACTAAAGACATCCCATCGAGGGACCGTAACTCTTCATCAGTTATAGCTTCAGCAATTCTCAACGGTAAATATACCGCAAAACCATCTTCCAACTCAACAATAACGGAGGGCCATTTGTTCGATGCAATTCTTGTAGCTTTCGCAATCGGGTAAGGTTGTTCGATTTGTAGTGAAGAAAGCGAACGTTTCAATGGGAAAACGTATGAACCCAAAAGATTTAGACGAGACATCTTGTCAGTATGAACGGCTACCTTGTACTACGTTGAAATTACATCAGGGGTAGTAATTACCCTAAGTTAAAAAGATGCGCGCGCGCATCAGTGAATCCGCCAATTAAAAATCTAAATTCTAAAAACCGCAAAATAGCCTTGAAGTAAGGGAGTAGCTCCCTCATTATTGCATCATCCCTATCGCTGTCGTAAATTGAATTAGATTGATGTAAATTAAAAAGATGTAATTTAAAATAAATAAAATAATTTAACGTAATTATCACTAGAATAAAAATCTCGCCACCGTTAAATGGGGTTAATGTGGTTAGATAAAGATTACGAATTCTCGACTTTACGCTTAAATTCAATAGTTTTAAATTAAGGAGTTTAGTATCATTTAACTTGTTTTACGTTAACATATACTACAATGGCTTTGANTTACAACGGATCAATAAACTTAGATGATGATAATGAAAGTTTAAATAGCAATCAAAACTCCGAAATAATTAACACAATTCCAATTACTGAAGAACCAATAGACAATAAAAATAATCAACTTTTTATCTATCTACATGAGAAACCAACTGAAGTACAAGTGAAAGAAAACAAAAGAATTTTAAACATCTATATTAATAAAAGAGAAATTGAAACACATTTGCTTCTAATAGAAATGGATGTTTTAGAAACTAAAGACGGATTTCGATACAATCACCAAAAAAATCGAGGGAACATTAGAACGGAACATAAAAGTATCTTTAAGAATGAATTAATAGAGTTAGTGGAAAGCGAGGAAATGTGGTGCGCGTTCTGCTTGAAGCGCCCAAATTTTAAATTAAATTTAAGAGTAGAATGTTCTGAAGTGATTCATCGATTTTTAGCTGATAAATGGATGGTTACAAATTCTTAATGGTAGAAGTAGCTCGTTATTAAACCATTTCAAATAAGGATATTATAATAGTATACAAAAGTATCATTAAGAACATGTTTGTAGATTTAGTGTAAACCGAAACTACTATTTTTAAATAATGTTATATGTAGGGTATGGAAATTTGATAAATAAAACAAATTAAATTCAGGTCGGGGCATTTTAATCTAAATAAATTAAAGAATGAAAATTAATATAAATATAATAACAATGTAAAAAGATTAAACTCACTTTCGTCATACGTCTCCATATCTCTGTAAAATAATCCTGGCCCGAGGGGCGTATAACCCCTCGGACACTTGTATCGAGGCAGTACCCTCGACACGAAAATCGACATTTGCACCTGCTAAAATTAAAGATAGAAATCAATTAAATCAATGAAATTAAACCCCGAAGGGAGACTTACTTTTAAATGGGGAGGCAGAAGCCTCCCGGCTAATTCGGAAACAATTATTTTCACTGATAAAATATGAATTTTAAACTCAAAACTTAAACTAAACTTTAACAATTTAGAGCTCACCTCTTTGATTATACATTGTAGAAAAGAAAATGTGGTAAAACGGTATTGCATAAGGCTTTATACCCTTTACAGTATACCCTTATCAAGTGTTTGTTTTCCTAAGGAAAGAACTTGGCTGCAACGTTCTTATGCAGCAAACCCTTATCAAATGTGGTTACTTAAGGAAAAAGAAACTCGAGTAAAATTCCATAAAATAGACGTTTAAAAATTAAATGCTCAGCCATCGACGCTTTCATAACGCTATACGTTGAAAAATGATTAATTTTAAAATCCGACATTAACCGCTTAAAGTGGCTGTTGTAGAATTCTTTGCCCTGGTCGGTTTGAAGATTTCGAGGTACGCGACCATCGGTGAGAATTGAGCGTAGCGCGGCGGTGACGTCCGTAGAATTTTTACTTTTTAACGGACGCATCCAGAGAAACTTGGAGAAACAGTCTATAACCACCAATATATATTTAAATCCGGAATTCAATTTAGCAAACTCAATCATTTCAATTAGATCCGCCTGCCATAAATCATCGATTCCCTTGAGAATGGTTCTTCGTCTAGCGAAAATACGTCTTACGGGGCGATGGAGCTCCTCCACAATGACTCGTTTCGCATCTGACACCTCCATTGTGATAATTAAGGTTTGAGGCCGCCTTTTTTCTTTAATATATCAAGTCTGGAAAATATCACGGAATCCATGAGGTCAACTCGCGATTTCTGCGCACCCATCGAATGTCGCATATTCGATATGAGGGTATCCATCACCAGTAGAGAATAAAGGTCGGTTCTGGACCGGAAGTGCTCCCCAGCTCCCCCTGATCCTGCGCATGCGCGCCGGAAGTGACGTCACGACATCCTTAAGGGGCTTCGACCGCCACGACAAACGTATTTCCAACAATACGCGTTAACGGTTTGAAATATCAAAAAAAGTTTCAAACAAAAGTTGTTTAAAAATGGAAAATCTATGCTTCTTCNATATTTTTTAAAATAAGCTTGTAAGTTAAATATAAAAGATAAGTTAGTTTATTATAAATAAGGTATACTTTTTTAAATAAATAATTTTTTATAATTTAAGAAATTATTGTTTGATATTTTTAAATAATCCAAACGCATTGAGGAATTAATATTAAATAACTCTTTAAAGATATATGTATGGGGGATGGGGATTTGATAAAGAAAACAAATTAAATTCAGGTCAGCTCATTTTAATCTAAATAAATTAAAAAATAAAAGTTAATATAAATATAATAACAATTTAAAATGAATAAACTCACTCTCTAATTTATATAATATGGAGACATAAGTCCCCATATCTCGGTAAAAGAGACCTGATCCGAGGGGCGTGAAACCCCTTGGGCATTTATATCGAGGCACCAGCCTCGATATAAAAATTGATAACGGCACCCTCTAAATTTAAAGATATAAATTAAAATAATGAAATTAAACCTCTGTATTGAGACTTACTTTTAAATGGGGAGGCAGGAGCCTCCCCGCCAAATCCTCAACAATTATTTTCACTGAAAAAATATGAATTTTAAACTCAAAACTTAAACTAAACTTTAACAATTTAGAGCTCACCTCTTTGATTATACATGGTGAAAGAAAATGCGGTAAAACGGTATTGCATAAGACTTTATACCCTTTACAATATACCCTTCAAGTGTGTGGTTTCCTAAGGAAACAACTTGGGTGCAACGTTCTTATGCTGCAAACCCTTATCAAATGTGGTTTCTTAAGGAAAAAGAAACTCGAGTAAAATTCCATAAAATAGACGTTTAAAAAATTAAATTTTATTTAAAAAAATAATTCACATCGATATAAAAAATTTTTATGATATATCTTTATTTGATATCCAAGAATTATGGGATGAATCGAATCCTAACCATTTTACGTACAACTTATCCTTCTTCCTCTTCAACACCTTTTCAACGAGGTAAAAGTTGGGTTGAGCGGTCCTTTGAAGTTCGAATTCGTAAAAAGCGCCTTTAATCGGCTGGCCACGCACATCCTCCAATAAATATGAAATTGTATTTGTGATATTCACTTTAACGATTTTAAACAATTCGGCGGTCCAGTTGGGCAGATATCCTTTATCAAACATATGTTTATATTTACTGATACGAACAGCGTCTCCAACTCTAAACTTTCCTCTGCCGGCAATTTTAATATGATTGTACACTGTATCGAGAAGTTTATTCTCTACCGATTTCGAATTTATTTCAGACGGTTTCATTTTCGTAGTCGAATGTTTCGTACTGTTATATCGAGATGTTATATCCACCAATAGGTGCGCCCATTTATGATTTCCATATAGACTGAAGAACTTGTAGATTCTTTGTTTAACGGTTCGAATTACACGTTCAGCCATCGACGCTTTCATAACGCTATACGATGAAAAATGATTAATTTTAAAATCCGACATCAACCGTTTAAATTGACTGTTGTAGAACTCTTTGCCCTGATCGGTTTGTAGATTTCGAGGCGCGCGACCGTCGTCTGTGAGAATTGAGCGTAGCGCTGCGGTGACGTCCGTAGAATTTTTACTTTTTAACGGACGCGTCCAAAGAAACTTGGAGAAACAGTCTATAACCACTAATATATATTTATATCCGGAATTCAATCTGGCAAACTCAATCATTTCAATTAGATCCGCCTGCCATAGATCATCGATCCCCTTCAGGATGGTTCTTCGTCTAGCGAAAATACGTCTAGCGGGGCGATGGAGCTCCTCCACAATGACACGTTTCGCATCTGACACCTTCTCCATTGTGACAATTAAGGTTTGAGACCAACCTTTTTCTCTAATATATCAAGTCGGGAAAATATAGCGGAATCCATGAGGTCAACTCGCGACTTTTGCGCACCGATCGACTGTCGTATATTCGATATGAGCGTATCAATCACCGATAGACGATTTCTAATGCGATTTAGATTCAAAGGTATATCGGTGTTTACCGTTTTAATTAGCGATGCGATCTGTCCGGTCTTAGATGGGTCTAATAAATTCGATACATCTTCGATATTCGATTTGTTAAGCTTTACTTGATTTAATAAATTAGTGAATTCCGTTTTAATTGCGTCCCCCAACTTTGTTAAACGATCGGAAAGTTGAGTTAAATCACCAGAGACGTCCGAGTAATTTCGATTAATAACATCTGTGAACTTTGCCGCCGTATCAGTTAATTCGTTGGATATTTCGGTAATTTTTACATCGCCAACATCAATTTTAGCATGCAGATTTTTAATATCGGATACCCAGTGCGATTTTAAATTTAAAATCTGATCCTCGATCGCTTCGATTGAAGGCTTTAAATTTCCGGAAACTTGAAGATCAATATATTTCTTGCTGGCATCAATTTCATCACGTAGGGTTTCAATCACCGACGTAACTTGTCTGGATTTATCTCGCAAATCCTCAACCACCGATTTTAAATTGGAATGATAATCCCTACTGGTTCGCAATCTCTTAATTATTGAATCGAATATACGTTTATACTCCGTATCGTTTGTCTTAAACATCTCATCTACATACACTTTTATAACGCAATCGTTTTCTAACGATGGACTTTGTACATTACTAAGTTTACGTCCCTGCATATCATAATCCCCAGATGAGGTTAACGGTAATCCAACCGCCCGCTGAGACGTTCCGGCTTCATCAATTATTCTACCCCATGAAGATGCGTGCAACGTACGTCCGAATTTATCGATACTGATAATAGCACCAACACCACCTCCAAACATGTCCGTAGTAAATTATTTGATAACGTTGATTTCTTTAAGCTCCTCCACAATATACGCAATCTCGTTTCTATGCGAATTGTTTCCGGCCGCATACGATGCATGCAACAATCGCAATCGATCAACCAATTCGTTAACATCATCCCAGTATTTATACTGAATCCGATTGGAATTAACCTCTAGACCTGACCCTGCGGTTTCACCCGCGTTGCTAAATAGCGGTTTAATTATTTTAATATATTTTTCAGAACGATTACTCGCTATGGGACCGGTATAGTTCTGTTTATGAGCTCCCGTATACGTTAGAATCTCTTTATACTTGCGAAGATCCTCTTCCGTAAAATTTTTAGGTGCTTTCAATTGTATGAGCTCGTATAAACCCGAGCTGGTTGGAATATTTAATTTACCACCGTCTAGTGATATGTGAGCGTCGGTAAATTCGACAGGTTTTGAACCAATCTTCCATCCATCTGTTTTAGAATCGTACCTTATACCCATTCTGAGATCAATTGAATCCCGTTTGCCGTACATATAATATAAATTTCTAATTCCGACGGGTAGCCTTCCAATAGGTATACGCTCTAATTTTGCATCGGGTTTCGTCAACGTTGACGTTGAAGGGGATTTTGATACATCAGCTCCCAAATTTTCAATCATTTCCGAACCCTTGGGAATTACGGTCGGACTTTTAACCTCAAATTTATCAACATCTTCATCACTAAACTTTATCTCTTTAATTTCACCCTTAACTGTTTTCTGTTGAGTCTTTCGATGCAATTTTATCGGTACCTTTACGTCATCCAATTTTTTCGATATATCCTTCAAAGTATCGCTTAACGGTCGGTGGAGTTTAGCTATAAGCGCGTCATCGCGTTCCTGGCCTAGTCTAATCGCCAGGCGTTTACGCTTTATCGCATTCGTGATGTTTACTATAGCTCTATCACGTTCGGCGTTTGACCGCTTGCCTACTTTATTTTGTTTACTANAAAAGATTAGCAATAAAACTAGAACTAACACTAGAAACTTTCGGGTTTTGCCGTGCGTCTTTTAATAAAAGGTTTGACGTTTCGGATGCCATGTTGCAACCTTCTTCTGAAACTGGTTCGAAGTGACTTCGAAGTGACTACATTCGTAGCATTTCATGCTCTTTCAAAAGATATTTTCAGAAAGACCGTTTGGTTTAAAACAAATAAGCTAGAGGGCGTTATCTGCAGCGGTAACATATTTTTATGATTTTTGGAAAAAAGTTAAATGGAACGGTATTATTTACTTCACAGACCATTAATCACCATAAAATTTGCTAAATACTAGTGAAACCCGCATCTCGATATCTCCATCCATTCTCGAATTATAAAAGAAATTGTTAAAAATTCGTATATCTTAATCGGATCAAGTTACCTTAGGAAACAAATAAGAGAGAACAATAATTTAACGATTTAGATTTAAAGGTATATCGGTGTTTACTGTTTTTTTTAATTATCGATGCGATCTGTCCGGTCTTAGATGGGTCTAATAAATTCGATACATCTTCGATATTCGATTTGTTAAGCTTTACTTGATTTAATAAATTAGTGAATTCCGTTTTAATTGCATCCCCCAACTTTGTTAATCGATCGGAAAGTTGAGTTAAATCACCGGAGACGTCCGAGTAATTTCGATTAATTACATCTGTGAACTTTGTCGTCGTATCAGTCAATTCGTTGAAAATTTCGGTAATTTTTACATCGCTAACATCAATTTTAGCATGCAGATTTTTAATATCGGACGCCAAGTGTGATGTTAAATTTAAAATCTGATCCTCGATCGCTTTGATTAAGGGTTTTAAATTTCCGGAAACTTGGAGATCGATATATTTCTTGTTGGCATCGATTTCATCGCGTAGGGTTTGAATCTCCGACGTAATATGTTTGGATTTAATTCGTAAATCTTCAACCCCCGATTTTAAATTGGAATGATGATCCCTACTGGTTCGCAATGTCTTACTTATTGAATCCAGCATACGTTTATACTCCGTATCGTTTGTCTTAAACATCTCATCTACATATACTTTTATAACGCAATCGTGTTCTAGCGATGGGCTTTGTACATTACTAAGTTTACGTCCCTGCATATCATAATCCCCAGATGAGGTTAACGGTAATCCAACCCCCCGTTGAAGCAATCCAGCCTCAACATTTAATTTACCCCATGAAGATGCGTGTAACGTACGCCCAAACTTATCGATACTAACAATACCGCCAACACCGCTTCCATACATGTCCGTAATTTATTTGATAACGTTGATTTCTTTAAGCTCCTCTACAATATACGCAATTTCGTTTCTGTGCGAATTATTTCCGGCCGCATACGATGCGTGCAACAATCTCAATCGATCTACCAATTCGTTAACATCATCCCAGTATTTATACTGAATCCGATTGGAATTGACCTCTAGAGCTGACCCCGCGGTTTCACCCGCGCTATTAAATAGCGGTTTAATTATTCTAATATATTTTTCAGAACGATTACTCGCTATAGGTCCGGTATAGTTCTGTTTATGGGCTCCCGTAAACGTTAGGATTTCTTTATACTTGCGAAGATCCTCTTCCGTAAAATTTTTAGGCGCTTTCAATTGTATGAGCTCATATAAACCCGAGCTGGTTGGAATATTTAATTTACCGCCGTCAAGTGATATGTGGGCGTCGGTAAATTCAACAGGTTTTGAACCGATCCATCCATCGGTTTTAGAATCGTACCTTATACCCATTCTAAGATCAATTGAATCCCGTTTGCCGTACATATAATATAAATTTTTAATTCCAACGGGTAACCTTCCAATAGGTATACGCTCTAATTTGGCGTCAGGTTTCGTCAACGCCGAGGTTGAAGGAGATTTTGATACATCAGCAGCTTCCAAATTTTCAATCATTTGCGAGCCCTTAGGAATTACGTTCGGACTTTTAACCTCAAATTTATCAACATATTCATCACTAAACTTTATCTCTTTAATTTCACCTTTAACTGTTTTCTGTTGAGGCTTTCGATGCGATTTTATCGATACCTTTACATCATCCAATTTTTTGGATATATCCTTCAATGTATCGCTTAACGGTCGGTGTAGTTTAGCTATAAGCGCGTCATCGCGTTTCTGGCCTAACTTAAGCGCCAGGCGTTTACGCTTTATTGCATTCGTGATGTTTAGTATAGCTCTATCACGTTCGACGTTTGAGCGCTTTCCTACTTTATCTTGTTTACTACTACTGCCCATCGATTATGATAACCTCACACAAACGCATGTGAAATAGTAATGCGTCTTTTCAATCTGGGTAGATGTATTTATCCATACCTATACGATATCTACCATCCTTAATTTCAAAGTCTGTCATTATAATTTGCTACCACTTTTTTTCTTGAACGCAACCCAGTCAGCCCAAATCTCAGGGGAAGCAGATTCCTGGTCCACAATTGGACACTAGCCGTAAACTCACCGCCGAGACCTGCCACGACCACGCTAGGTGCCAACCCGACGCCCTTCCGCAGTGGATGGTGAAGGTTAAATGATAGAAGTAAATGCGTTCCCTATCCTTTATTAAACCTTACAAATCTCATCAATGTAAACAAAAATTATAAAATTACGGTCGACACAAAAATGTGGTACGTACCATTAATGTTTCACAATTGACAAACGAAACCTTAACAAAATAGACGGTCCAATAAAGANATAATAAATGTATTAACATATAATTGTTGTTTATATTTTTCTACCAACCACATTTTTTTTCATGATTTTAAATTTTCATGATCTATCCCCCATCAGGTAAATTTAAATTTTAAACATATAACAGAGCCATCTATCGCTCATCAGGTAAATTTAAGTTTTAAAAATATAACAGCGCCATCTATCGCCCGATGGTTAGCAATTTCCAGTCCAACTTAAAAATATGACAGCGCCATCTGTCGTTCATCAGGTAAATTTTAAGCCGCGTCATCTATCAATCATCAGGTAAATTTTAAGCTGCGCCATCTATCACTCATCAGGTAAACCACCCCTTTTTTAGTTTAACTACACAACACCAGATGGCGCCACATGAATTTTGAATTTCAAATTTTCCGCCAAATTTCCCGCGCTGTGACGTCACTTCCTGCGCATGCGCAGGGAGCAGGGAGCACAGGGAGCAACTTCCGCTCCAGAATCGGCATTAATATACTACTGACGACATCGTGAAGAGCCTTTTTCGTATCTGATGCGGTGAACCTGCAACACCAAATAATCGATCTATTGCGTTTGGGGTGAATTGTCCAAATGGGCAAGTAACACGCCGGAATTGATCCAACTTTTCAAACTCCAAGAAGAAGGAACGCCAATTTCTCTAATAGTGAAGAAATCGACTTCGTAAAAGTATTGGGGCTTAATTGGAATCCGCACGCTGACACTTTTGGCTACTCATATTATTATGTCCCACGTGACACTCTCTACAGCAAAAGAGCTATTCTATCCACCATCGCTCGCATTTATGATTCCATGGGATTTATTACTCCATGTAAGTAGATAATAAATGCCGGTTCTGGACCGGAAATGAATCCCCCTAATCCCCCATGACGTCACTTCCGGTGTGATGACGTCACTTCCGGTGTCATCCTACTTCCGGTATCTTGTCACTTCCAGTATCATCATCAACCTTCATCAACCCCTTCAACCCCCTGCAACACCATCTTAGTGCCCTAATGGCTCCCTGCAACCCCTTCAACTGATTCATAGATTTTTATACGCAGAATAGAAAATAAGAAGTTAGTTTATTATAATTTATGTATACTATTTTTAAATAACTTTTTTTTAGTTTAAGCAATTGATTAATATTTCTAAAAAGCTAATTAAATATGAACTTTAAAGTTATATGTAGGGGATGGAAATTGACAAATAAAACAAATTAAATTCAGGTCACTAATTTAATCTAAATAAATTAGAATTGAAAATTAATATAAATATAATAATAATTTAAAACGAATAAACTTACTATCCAATTTATATAGGATTTGTACATAGTTGATCATATCGCAGTAAAAAATGCCCGGCTCTAGGGGCATAAAGCCCCTCGGGCATTTATATTTCGCCAGGTTTCTAGATATGAAAATCGATTTCTGCACCTTCTAAAATTAAAGATAGAAATCAATTAAGTCAATGAAATTAAACATCTGTAGTGAGACTTACTTCTAAATGGGGAGGCAGAAGAATTCCCACCATTCCAGAGACTATAATTTTCACTGAAAATATATGAATTTTAAACTCAAAAATTAAACTAAACTTTAACAATTTAGAGCTCACCTTTATAGTTGTACATCGTCACTTATCACAATGAAAATGCGGTAAAACGATATTGCATACGATTTTATGCAGTTGACCCTTATCAAAATGTGGTTTCTTAAGGATAAAAACTTGGTTTTACAGTTTTATAAATTTTTAAAATTATTAATTTACAATTTTTATTAAAACATAAGGTTTTATGCAGCAAACCCTTATCAAATGTGGTTTCTTAAGGAAAAAACTTGAGTGAAATTCCATAATACAAACGTTTGAAAATTAAATTTTATTTAAAAAAATTCACATCGATATAAAGAAATTTTATGATATACCGTATTTTCTCGAATCTAATCCGCACCCTTTTTACAAATTTTGTATGCTCTAAAATCAAATGCGGATTACAATCGGATGTGGATTACATTGGAAAACCAACTTTTTTTACCATCATTGCAGTTTTAAAATCGAGGTGCGGATTAGATTCGAGTGCGGATAAGATTCGAGAAAATACGGTATCTTTATTTGATATCCAAGTACAACTTATCCTTCTTCCTTTTCAACGAGGTAAACATTGGGTTGAGCGGTCCTTTGAAGTTCGAATTCGTAAAAAGCACCTTTAATCGGTTGTCCGCGAATGTCCTCCAATAAATATGAAATTGGATCTGTGATTTTCACTTTAACGATTATAAACAATTCGGCGGTCCAGTTGGGTAAATATCCTTTATCAAACACATGTTTATATTTACTGATACGAACTGTATCTCCCACTCTAAACTTTCCTCTACCGACAATTTTAAAATGATGATTAATATGATGATTAATATGATGTACACTGTATCGAGAAGTTTATTCTCTACGGATTTCGAATTTATTTCAGATGGTTTTATTTTCGTAGTTGAATGTTTTGTACTGTTATATCGAGATGTTATGTCCTTTAATAGGTGGCGCCCGTTTATAATTTCCATATAGACTGAAGAACTTGTAGATTCTTTGTTTAACGGTTCGAATTACACGTTCAGCCATCGACGCTTTCATAACGCTATACGATGAAAAATGATTAATTTTAAAATCCGACGTCAACCGTTTAAAGTGACTGTTGTAGAACTCTTTGCCCTGATCGGTTTGAAGATTTCGAGGCACGCGACCGTCGGTGAGAATTGAGCGTAGCGCGGCGGTGACGTCCGTAGAATTTTTACTTTTTAACGGACGCGTCCAGAGAAACTTGGAGAAACAGTCTATAACCACTAATATATATTTATATCCGGAATTCAATATTCCAAACTCAATCATTTCAATTAGATCATCGATCCCCTTCAGGATAGTTCTTCGTCTAGCGAAAATACGTCTAGCGGGGCGATGGAGCTCCTCCACAATGACACGTTTCGCATCTGACACCTCCATTGCGACAATTAACGTTTGATACCGCCTTTTTCTCTAATATATCAAGTGTGGAAGATATCGCGGAATGCATGAAGTCAACTCACGACTTCATTCATCACCGATAGACGATTTGTAATGCGATTTAGATTTAAAGGTGATCGGTGTTTACCGTTTTAATTTTACCGCATAATCGCGTCTCTTGAGTTTCTAAGTAGTGTTGTGCGATTGTTATATTTGAGGCTTCTTTTTTGTTTTTTACATTCCCCGCGGGTGCTGGTCAGCGTGGTGTTTGATTTTGTTCGGTTTTGCGTTCAACATTTTTCGAAGGATTAATATCCTTCGAAAAGTTCTATCCAGTCTTAGATGGGTCTAATAAATTCGATATATCTTCGATATTCGATTTGTTAAGCTTTACTTGATTTAACAAATTAGTGAATTCCGTTTTAATCGCATCCCCCAACTTTGTTAATCGATCGGAAAGTTGAGTTAACTTGCCAGAGACGTCCGAGTAATTTCGATTAATTACATCTGTGAACTTTGTCGTCGTATCAGTCAATTCGTTGGAAATTTTATATTTGACGATGTAGCATGTGATAAACAGGATAAGATTCAATAATTTTTCTGAATGGGACGACATAATAATATTGATTCGTTCTACCTTACGCAAACCTATCTGCGGATACCTAAACACCTAATACGAAACAATGCAAACGTCTTAATTCTATTCAAACAAGATGAGGTTAATTTAAAACATGTGTATGATGAATACGTTAACACTGACATGAAGGTTGATGTTTTCAAGGAAGCTTATAAACGGTGTTGGAATGATGATAAATATAACCCTATGATCATTATGAAAGATTTTGAAGTAAAGGATGGAAGGTATCGTATAGGAATGGATAAATTTATTTATCCGGACTAAATTATTGCATTGTTATCTCGTATTTGTGTGAGTAAGCATGTCACATAACGATGAAATGACTAAGCGTTCCATACGTGAGAGAGATAAAGCTATAATTAACATAACAAATACTATTAAGAAAAAATTTAAGCGCTTTAAACTCGGTCGAGAAAACGATGACCGTCTTATCGTTAAACTGCATCAGCCATTAAGCGATTCATTAAAATATATAACTAATAAATTAAGTGAAGTGAAACCTTCTTCTTCTTCTTCTTCTGTACATTACCATCACCACTATCCACCTACTGATGATGTAGGTGTTGACTCTTACGGGACATTAAAAAAATTAACGCGGAAATCCTATTAAATGGTCAGCAAATTACAATGATGGAATTTAATGATTGATGGAATTTAAAATGAATCATTATTCAACGTATAGCATAGTGAAGGCTGCAATAGCTGAACGCGTAATTAGAACCATAAAACAAAAGTTGTATAAAATGTTTAGTCTTTACGAGTAGATAAATAATGAGAGTTCTGGACCGGAAGTTAATCCCCCATCCCCCTAATCCCCCATGACGTCACTTCCGGTGTGATGACGTCACTTCCGGTGTCATCCCACTTCCGGTGTCTTGTCACTTCCGGTGTCATCTTCAACCCCATGTTAGTGCCCTAATGGTCCCTTCAACCC